CCATACTAGGGACTAAGGTCCTCATGGGTGAAAACGCATCTGCATTTTGATTCGTAATCGAGGATAGAAGTAAATGTCTATGGGACACAGCAACCACTTACCTTCAGGTGGACTGTGTGCTCGTTTGTCGCTCTATCCTATAAAAAAAATATTAACCCACTTTTAACTTCTTCAGAAATGTGTACGAACACTTTTTTTCAAATATTCTACACAATACTGAATCATGTGTTAACCAATCCCTATCATCTGATTTTAATCTTAGTCACAAAATATATAAAAGAAAATTCTCACATTACATAAACACCCTCACACAGACATCAACATTTTACGATCAATCTGTGAGACGGAGTTCAAGGGTGCAACCTACACCTCCACACCTCCGCGAACCAACAGGCGACAGTTACTATCAACCTTGAGATCTAGGGTATCGGCTTCCCCTGCACGAAGGACACTAAGGAGTTCGTTGCCATCGAACATCTACGTCTTCGGCAGGAGGAGAAACGAGACGGGCAGCTGTATCATCTGGAGACTCGTAGGAAAGAGATTGACCACGAGCGTAATCAAGTGTTACGCATGTTTGCAAACATTAAACAATCGTGGTTTGACTACTAGCGGAGTGAAGACAATACAGAGTAATTAGTTCGTACTCCATAGGTATGAAATTTATCACGCCTGTATTCCACGGAAGGTTAGGCAGAATGGTACTGTAGAGGTGTACCCTCACGTTTTGCCAATTATGTTACAAGTCCCATGTAACAGGGGGCAAGCCTATTGCCATTATCCGGACACAAATGCAGACTCCAAGCTGCTACTGAGAAATTTCTAATGAAGAAACCCAATAACACTACACGAACCGGGGATCACACCCGCGACATCACGCTTAGACATCGGCTACTATTGAAGTTTGTCCGTAAAAAACTAGTTTAACATAATGTTATAATTACTGGATTTTCAACTGATTTAAAAGTTTAAAAATTTATTATAAATTGGTAGTGACATTATTTTACGTTTAATATTGTCATTTATTAAGTAGATGGTTAAGTGTTTGTAGATAGTTATTATTAAGTTATTATTCAACTAAATATAATAAAATAAAGGAGTTGGTTAAATTATAGAATTATAACATTCTCTTTTGACTATTTTTATTTGAATAACACAACCAGAATGGATGGGCTGCGAGCATGTAGATACAAAGCTGATGGCTGAAAGAGTAGGTATGAAAGGAAAGTGCCATGTACGCCGCTGACCCTAAACAAGTTAGTACAAGCAAAGGTCCCAAATCAAAAAAAAAAAAAATGCAAGTCTCGCAATAGAGTCTTCTACTACAAAAAGTTTTTTTTTAATATGTTTTGTTTTATTTCTAATAATTTACCATATAATAGGAGAGTAGACGTGTTTTATTTAAGTGCGTGCCAAGCCGGTCTTACACTACACCGATAAGAGAAGATAGCAGAAAATACAAAAGATTTAACCCTTCAAGCGCCATAAAAATTCCATGCAGACGCATGCGCCCAGAAAATCCCGAGCGGTCGTATGCGACCGCACCCAACCACAGCACTTAAAACCATTAAAACTTATATTTATAGACTACTTTTATGTGTAGAAGTTTAGCATAATAAAATCTATAGAAAATTCTCTACACTGTGGTCTAAACAAAAGTCAGGTTTTACTTCATTACAATAAGATTTTATTGTATTTTGATAACAAAAAAGAACATACCAAGCGAATGTCAGCACCGTGAAAATCACAATTATTTCAATATATATTCCTCGAAATTATTTACGTAAAAGATAAACTATATTCACACAAAAACTTTCATTACAATTTTATAATGTAACACTATACTAAAACACTAATAAAACACTAGAAAAATCCAAAAATCAACACAATAACATTCACGCGAAAATGGCGTACGAAATATATATTGATTACATAATGCTAAACTTCTTCATAGAAAAGAAGTCTCTATATATAAGTTTTTATGGATTAATGTGCTGCGGGTGGGCGCGACCTCATGAGACCGCTAGGGATTTGACGAAATATGGCCGCTGTCTCATGAGACCACTAGGGGGTTGAGAGGTTAAAACCTAAATAGCACAGAAATGAAAGTAGTCGGTAAAACAAATAAACTGAAATAGAAGGATGAGTGTTATGAAACATATTGCTATGATTAAATTGAGTGTGGGTACTAGGATACCATAATTAAATTGGAGTTTAGGTATTTAAGATACCATCATTAAATTGGAGTTAGGGTACCAAGATACCTTCATTAAATTGGAGTTTGGTTACTAAGGTACTACCATGAAATAGGAGTTTGGATACTAAGCTATCACCATTAAAATTGGAGTTTGGGTACAAAGATATTAACATTAAATTGGACTTTGGATATTAAAATACCAGCATTAAATTGGATATAAAAATATAAAAAAATGTATCAGGTTATTTTTTAAAGAAAAAAGGGCCAACGGGCATGCGGCCCACCCGACGGTAAGTGACTACCGTTGCCCATGAACAACCGCAACACTAGGGGAATTGCAGGTGCATTCCTGGCATTTTAGAAATGAGTAAGATCTTTTCTTTAAGGGTCCCTAAGTTGTATCGGTCCGGAAAAATAACTGGTGTTAAACAATTCCACAGAAAAGTTGTACGAGGAAGAAAACTCCTAGTAAAATGCGCAGTGTTGGACCGCTAAGTGAGGATGATATCGGGAATCTTGACGCGATGAGTGTTTGTGAAATTTGGCAGCTGGAACTAATCCGAACAATTTCTCAGAATACTCCCCATAGTAGATACGATAGAAAACGCTAAGCAGCACCAGTGAATCGACCCGATCAGAACGAACTTGGTCGTCGACGATTCGAATGGCTCTGCACTGGATGCGGTCAAGTGGAAGGACCTGGCACTAGGGTGCCCCGGCCCAGAGATGAGAATAGTATTCCGTGTGAAGCCAAAGTTGCGCTTTGTAAGCAAGTTTGCAAGCGATGTGCCTTTGCAATTTGACCTTCCCCTCCAAGTGACCACAAAACTGCACACTAATCGATATGTCGACTCCGTGGATTCTGATGCTAGCTGAGGCAGCAAGGGGAGTGTTTCAAACTGAAGACATACGACGAAAGAGTTCTTTTTAGCGGTTAACGCGCAAATTTGTGCCTTCTGTAGATTGAATTGGACTAGATTTAGTCGCCCCCAATCCCAGAATCTGTTAAGCAATGACTTGATTTCAGACACACGTTTGTCCCGGTTCTTGGGGACGTTTTCCAGAGAAATATTGACACGGCGAGTGTATAAGCCATCACCAGTGCTGTCGTCTACATAGCAATGAATGTTACCAGTTTGCAACATATCACTGATATGTAGAAGAAACAGCGTTGGTGATAGCACGTTGCCTTGTGGAAGATCAGCGTTAATAGGCTTGTAATCAGAGAATGTACCGTCTACTACAACCTTGCGATTAGCTCAAGCTTAATTCCATTCCAAACAGCTCAAGTTTAATTCCATCACAGGGCACTGGCTAAACAATAGATTAGGTAATAGCGAGTGCATTGTCCAAGACTAAAACGTGCCAAATCAGCCATATTGTTTGGTTATAGAGAACAACGTCCACAACAAAATTGATCTCGCAAAACAAATTTTGGCGGGAATCGAACCCGAGAACATATTGCTCCACCATTTTCTCGTTCTTCGACCCAGATTCAAAGGGACAGTCTGTGGTCACACCATTTTCTGGTCCTTCGGGCCGGATATAAAGTTAATCAGTAGTGCGACCATTTTCAGCTTCTTTCGATCGGGATACGAAGGGCAAATAGTCACCTTAACCATTTAGTTACCATCCATACCGGATTCTAACCCAAGAACAATTAGCGTCATCATTTTCTGGTCCAGTCGAGCGGATTTGGAACTGACGTCCTGTGGTCTAATCGAGTCGAACTGCTAAACCAATTCCTTGGATAATGCACTCTAGTTTGTTAACGCTGGATAAATTTAGATTCACTTGTGTGTGTAGTGAAGAGAAGAATTTCAACTATTTGCAATTTAAAATTCAACGGTATTGTTGAATTTTTAAAATGCAAATAGTTGAAATTTCCTTATGGCTACATTCGCATATACCATAGGTAAATAGACGCTTATTTATTTTGGTTTGACCCGCTGTAGTTTTCTCTTTACCTAATTCCGCAATTCGTAATATTTTATACGAATTTATATAGTGCATTCTTGCATAAGTGCTTGTTGGATTTGGTTAGTGTACGCTACAAATAACGCATTCTAAATTCTTTAAAAGTAATATAATATAGATTACACATATACATTAACTCGTTCACTTGTTACTATGGGAGAGTTCCACACATGCCGATATCGCGCGTGAAAAAATTATCACATCTCAATGCAGACTACCTCTGCTTAGTAAAAAAAATCTTGTCGAGGTGTCTGATTGAATTTCTGATTGAAATTGAAGTGATCTGAAGAGTGATACGTCTTTATATTGCTTGTTTTGGTAGTCAACCTTTAGCACATTGTGAAACTTTCGTCTTCCATCGTCGCGCGATTTGCTCGTGTTAGTATAATATTAATTATCGTATTGCAAGACGGAAGTGAGCGTAAATAAAGTGAAACTTAAAATTCTATACGCCAAAAGGGACGTGCTATTTCCTCGTATACAATAATATGTCAGTAAGCATATAAAAATAATAACGTAGAATTAGTGCGGGAACCATTTTTGTGTGAAATAGACCGGTAGACTCATTGATGTTAAATTACGAAAGTGTATTAGACAAACTCCGCCTGTGTTACATTCTGCACACTCCGGTCCCAAGCCCGGGTAAAGGAGGAGGGTTCTTCGTAGGGCCAACAACCCTACAAGGTAAAAACCCAAACGTTCCGAAGTCCAAAACAGAAGAATCCAGATTGCTTAAAACCCAACGACCTTGGCAAAGACTTATAGAAAAACGATTTAGCCTACGAATCGGTACATGAATGTGCAAACTATGCTACAAGCTGGAAAAATGAATGAAGTCGGCCGCGAACTGAAGAAATACAACCTCGATCTAATAGCACTTCAAGAAATCAGATGGCAGGGAACTGGCACCATAGACAAAGACGAGTATACACTTCACTACAGCTGTGCCGACATTCAGGGACACCGCGGCACTGGTTTCATCATTACTAAGAAGCTTCGAAGTTGCGTACTGGGCTTTGAAGCAGTCAACGACAGACTATGCAAAATACGGATTAAAGGAAAGCTCTACAATACTACATATGTCTGCGCATATTCACCAACGGAAGATGCATCAGACGAAGACAAAGAAAAGTTTTACGAGGAACTTCACACACTATGCAGTAAAGTACCGAAATATGATGCACTTTGTGTTCTAGGTGACTTCAACGCAAAAGTTGGGAAAGAGAATATTTATGCGGACGTGACTGGTAAGCATTCTCTGCATGAAGACACCAGTGACAATGGAGAACTTTTATGCAATTTTGCAGTAGCAAACAATCTTTTTATATGTGGCACGAAATTTCCACACAAAAATATACACAGGCACCTGGAAGGTTCCCGGTAGGGCTCAATACAATCAAATTGATCATGTGTTATTTAGCAAGCGTAGGCTGTCCAACGTTCAAGACGTTAGGGTATACAGAGGTTCCAACTGTGACTCTGACCATTTTTTGGTTGTTGCTTCTTTAAAGGAAAAGACTTGTAAAATTCAGAACACTAAAGGTGAGAAACGCATAAAATGGGACACCGACAAACTAAAAAATGCTACTAACGAAAAATTGTACGAACAAGAATTAGGAAGGCAATTTACTAAATATGTCCCGTCTAACAACATTGATGAGGAGTGGCAAAATATAAGAACAGCGGTGACAGAGTCATCAAAAATATTATTGGAAAGGCAAAGCGTACAAGAAATATGGGATGGTTCGATGAAGAATATATGGAAGCACTAACTAAAAATAATGAAATACGGCTTAGATATCTACAAAACAACAGTGTAAAAAACGAAGAACTTTATAAGACTGAGAGAAACAAACGTAGGAAATTAGCGAGACGCAAAAAAAAGAACGAAGAAATAGAGCGATTCAAGAGAATGGAAGACCTGAGAGTACGTAATTTCACACGCCCCTTCTATAGGGAAATAAACAGCCTTTGTAAGGGATATCAACCCAAAACCAACGCATGCCAACACAAGTAAGGGAGTCTAATCACGGAAAAGGCAGACGTGCTTAGGAGATTTTAGCGAACTCCTAAACATATCCAATGCAACAGATAAAGAGACCATCTTTTTCGACGTTGAGGAGCGATTAGAACCACCCACGAGAATGGAAGTCCATCAAGCCATTCGTAGTCTGAAGAACAACAAGGCACCAGGGCTTGATACTATCACCTCAGAGCTACTCAAAAGAGGCGGAAGCGGTATCGTGGAGAGAATGCATGGACTCGTTACTCTTATAAGGGAGGAAGAAAGAATACCCGAGGAGTGGAATTCAGGTATTATTGTACCGATATTCAAGAAAGGGAATAAGAGTATCTGTAGCAATTACGGAGGTATTATAGTCCTCTCAGCGGCTTATAAAGTTGTCAGGAGTTATTTATAGGAGGCTCTGTGGTTATGCTGAGGAGATATTGGGATAGTACCAATGCGGATTCCGACCTAATCGCTCTACTGTAGAACAGATTCATCTCCTGCGGCAAACACTGGAAAAGGCGTATTAATACAACATTAACTTGCATCATATGTTTGTGGATTTCAAGCAGGCATTTGACATTGTGAACCGTACACAAATACTCTCCAGCATGCTACATTTGGGTGTGCCCAGTAAATTGGTTAGGCTTGTCGAAGCCACTTCAAAGCACTCTAAAGCAGTTGTAGCCATACAGAATGACCTGTCCGAGCCTTTTGAGATCCGTTCAGGAGTGAAACAAGGAGACGCGCTATCGTCTATAGTCTTCAATTTGGCACTTGACGCTGCCACACGTAAATTGAACATCAATGGTCTGATTAATTACAACACCACTCATCTCGCTGCGTATGCCGATGATATTGTTATTACCAGCAGGTCAAGAAACAGGATGATTGACCACTGTCTAATGCTGGAGACCGAAGCCGCGACTTTTGGACTGTGTGTAAATGCACCCAAGACTGAGTACCTTGCAACAACTAGACAACCTGGACAGCCACAAAACGTTAATGTTGGCAATCAAATCATAAAAGGCGTGAGCAGCTTCAAGTATCTAGGAGCAACGATTACCTCCCAAAATAGATCTGACGAAGAGATTAAGGCACGGATAGTTGCTGGGCACAAATGTTATTACGCGTGTACCAAACTTCCTGGGTTTTAAGCTGCTTAGTGTGAAATCGAAACTCACTGTAGCGGCGCTGTCGTCGCCGCCACAAGCGAAAACACACCGAAGCCTAAATCGCGCTATCAACATTCCGAATCATAAACAGTATATATAGAACATATCCGAACTATCACACGGAGTGTTGGCCGCTCCCCGGGCAGAACACCTTGCCCGGCGAGAGATCTCCCCTTTTCCCTCCACGGCCACAGTGGTGACCCCGACGTGATCTGAACACGCAACCAAACAACCTTCGGAAACTTCAAGCTTCATCATCGTTATAGAATAACTCCACACATTCGCTCCCGAGCAGATATCGTCTGCAATCTTCATATCCTGCAAGCCATCTAGCTTCACAAGGTTCATCGCAGCACTGGAATAATAATGCTTCCTGTTCCTTCAAGCTACTCTCTGCGCCATACAGTGTTCGGCACGGCTCTGAGCCTTACTGCTCGCCTCTGCTTTACGGCACTCTCGCAGATTACTTGCCTTCTTCTCGACTCACCACAGACTACAAGGCAATCCACTGGCACTTGCACATTCGTCGGCAACAAGGCTGCACTAACGACCTCCAGTCTGAGCAGGGGGGTGATGTAGCGGCGCTGTCGTCGCCGCCACAAGCGAAAACACACCGAAGCCTAAATCGCGCTATCAACATTCCGAATCATAAACAGTATATATAGAACATATCCGAACTATCACATGGAGTGCTGGCCGCTCCCCGGGCAGAACACCTTGCCCGGCGGGAGATCTCCCCTTTTCCCTCCACGGCCACACTCACCATCTACTATACCATCATCAGGCCTATTGTGACTTATCCCTGTGAAACCTGGACTTTAACCCAGAGAGAAGAACTGAATCTTGCCGTGTTCGAAAGGAAAGTGCTGAGAAAAATCTATGGTCCCATGAAAGAGCGTGACGGTATCTATAGTCAACGCATGAACCATGAAGTGGACGCACTTATCGGGCACGAGAATATCGTCAGGGTTTGTGAGTCGCAGCGACTGAAGTGGGCGGGTCATCTTGAAAGAATGCCGGACACTAGAGCCGTAAAAATAATGACAAAGTGGACGCCGCAACAAAAGAGACCGAGAGGCAGGCCTAAAAAGCGTTGGAGTGACTGTGTGGAAGAAGATCTCAGGAAGATGGGAAAGTTTACCAGCTGGAAGAAGGTAGCCAGGCAGCGTGACAACTGAAGGAAGATTGTGGATGCCAACGGAAGAAGAAGATTAGACAAAATTAATAGTCTTGAACTGCTAATTGATTCTAGTTATGTAGTAAATTATCAATCGCTTATAGTATTCGAGGATCTATTGTGTCGTGTAAAACGAATGGCTAAATTGCCGCAACCTGCAGCCCAGAGCGACGTTAAGCCGGGAACTCACAAACAACCACGTGAATCACTTAGAATGCCCCCTATAGATATCCTGATGTTTAATGGTGATATTAAAAATTTATTTAGCCGTTATTTATTAATAGCTTTCAAAACACTATGCATAACAATACCTCATCGGACGCTGAAAAATCGTATTATTTCATTGGTAAGCTAACTGGCAAAGCGAAACCACTGTGTGCGGGTTTCACACAAACAGCAAATAATTATTCGTTAATCTTCGAAACGCTTAAAAATAAATATGAAGATAAGCGAATGCTAGCCTTTTCATATCTGGATCAAATATTCGATCTTAAGGTTATGTCATCCGCGAATATCAGCAGTCTCGAACATTTTTGGATAAATTCGCAATATCAGTGGCTGCCCTCAAAAATCTTAAATTGATGACTTCGTGTTTTTACATATTGCTATAAAAAAGCAACACCCAAACACCATGCGTTCGTTTGAAATGGAGAATCGTGGCTCCAAATTACCATCGTTTGAAACTTTGGCATCTTTTGTTCGAGATCAAATGAAAGTAACGATCGATCATCAAGTACCAAAGAGGAAGCAAAGAAATGCGTCGACCTTTTTTACTGGAAACAAGGCAATCCATCTCAGTCCTCATGGGTGACGACGCATCTGCATTTTGATTTATAATAAAGGATAGATGAAGATGTCTATGGGCCACAGCAATCACTTACCATCAGGTGGACTGTGTGCTTGTTTGTCATCCTATCCTTTAAAAAGAAGACCATCGACCGGTCTCTTCACTAAAGCCAGCGAAGTCCCTGACGTATGTAAATACCACGCCTTCGTTGCCTCATAACGCCTTGCAGTAATTTTGGAGGCGATGGAAAACGGAATATCTACATACGTTGCAATCTCATCGAAATGAAACACCACAACTAAATCATTAACAGTCTGAACGGTAGTTGTTCTCACCAAAGAAAACACGTCGCCTCTTTATTGGTAATTAGGGATCGTCGAAGAGGTTTTTCCCGTATCCGACAGGGTAACTTGGATAGCTCATATTAAGACTACGGCCGGATCATATATGCGACCTGTTGTTCGTCTATGCCCTTTGCCCAATCAATAGTTTCGAATTGTTTTTCTAGGCTAGATTAGTAGTTTAAATTAGGTTTCAGTATAAGCTTTAGTTAAGTGAATGGTTGTGCAAAAAAAGGATTAGTAATCTAGCCAGTGCCTTCCTCCATCCTACCCACATTACTTTCGGCACGCACTGAAAGGAGGGGGTGAGGGAGGAGGAAGCTAAATTATGTGGCGTGATTTTGTCGCCGATGAAGAAGCGTGACCTCCGCCTAAATACGAATGGAGATGGTTTGTAAATAAAAAGACATCCGCTGCCGCTGCACACTCTCTTGCATCGTTGTTGAAGACCAACGCTAGTTGTGATTGCACCTCTTTGGCAGTTGGCCACAGAACCTAGTATTAACCGCTTCGCACAGTGCAACTTTTCGTTGCGCACCGCCTCTTCCAACGCAGTCGCAACACCAAGGTCATCGTCCTCGAGGCCGCTGAAGCAGAAGGAAGGTAGAGCTGTTTGTATATAGTTGTAGCACAATGTTTAGTGTATGTAGAGAACCCTTTTTGGAAATGAATTTGAAATGGGTTTTCCCCACCCCGGTAAGTGCACCATTAAATTGTCTTGAACTGTTTTTTATTTACTGTGTTATCTTTCTCCTAGACAGCTCAAGTTTAGTTCCATCACAGGTCACAGGCTAAATAATAGATTATGTAATAGCAAGTGCATTATCCAAGACTGCCACGTGCCACATCAGCCATCTTGTTTGGTTATGGAGAACCACGCATACAGTCCACAACAA